ATGTGTAAAATATGCGATAGATAGTAACCGCCTGAAACTCTAAAATAATTATAAAAAATAGATATATCACATAATAATGGTGTTTATTATATACTGATAAATGAAATATGAAATAAAATTTGTATTTTCATTTTCCATATTTTTCACTGTATAAGATATATTTTTCACTGCAGTTTAACATATTTTACATATTTTTACTTGTGTCTTGCCGGATTAATTTCTTCTAAATTCAGCCAATGAACAAAATTTAAGAAGTAATCTTTCAAATTTTAATATAAAAAATGTATATAATAAACAGAAAATTCAAGTCTTTTTCTATAATACAGGATTTATTTTCATCTTGTGGTATAAAAATTATCATATTTCACTCGTGGCGGTAGCCACTCATGAAATATTTGTTTTCATACCACTCAATGAAATAAATTGTGTATTTATAAAAAAATTTGAATATCCTCTATATACTTCATAAGGTGTATATACGTCATTAGGTGTAATCCCCCAGAGCTAAATTTGTAAATACCGGAAAACAGTATGTGTCAAAAAGGTCAATCGCTACACTTCTCCCAATGCTGCCTAGTTGTAAAACAGCACACTTCCAGATTCATATTGTTTTAAATGAAAATAATTATATGTTCCATCATTAAGTTAAATATTTAGATATGAAGTTCAGAGATACAAAAATTTACTATTAAGCCATAAGTAAGAGTTATATTTATTTCCTTTTATGTATTAAAATGTTTGTAACATTGGGACAATATTATTCCTTTAATAAGTGGTTAGAATTGATATAACAATATTTTTAAATTTTTTAATAAGCTTATTTTGAATTGAATCAAAGAAGTATGCATATCTGTTTTTTTTTCACTTTTCCTAAATTTTGATTGATTTTTGAAGAAAGTAAAATATCTGGATGTGTGCAGTTTAACTTCTAGCATGTCCCAAGCCATGGTAAAAGCAGAGGGGGAGAAATGAATCTTGTATTTGTATTATCAATGTTATTTTACATATCACTAAACATTTTTACATTTTTGAATGCATTGTTCACCATTTTTTTGATGTCTGAAGTGATAGAGAATAATTAATAGGTTGGTGCCTTGGATCTGGCGAGGCGGAGGGATTTATTGGGTGAGCCTTTGGTCAGATAGTTCTCCATCCATAGGACCAATCTTTCTTTTTATCCTGTTATCGATTTTTTCTGTTATCGACTAGTTCTTATCATTCTGGTATATTTTACAAGCAAAATTGTCAAACCAGTCTTTTTAGTGATTTTAGTCATTTTTACATGTTTTGCCGCATAACGTATGCGTTCTTTTTCAAGACGTCATCATATGACGTCACAGTAACAATGTTGAAATTTAGTCCCGTACAATTTTTCAAATTTGTTACATTTTCACACAATGTATGCAGTCATTTACTTGCTTCTCCTGTAGAAGCAAAATTTACGTACATGACATGATTTATTCCTGTTGATAATTCAATTTAGTGTTGTTTTTTTATTCATCAGAACAGCTCATGCCTTTGATTGGTAAAATAAGAACCATAAGGAATATAAAATAGACCATATTTTACAAAATCTTTTAGAAATGTGTAATCATATGAAAAAGGAACATTTTAAGTGTGTGTGTGTTTTGTTTTTTTTTAATTAATTCTTTTGTACTAAATAGTTGAAATGATTCTGAAAAATCCTTAAAATAAGTTTTAAAAAAGAATTTTCAGGATAAAATTTTGAATTTTGGTCAGTTTTTTTCATTTATAATAGACCTAAACTTGGCTATTTGAAAACTATATATAGATGCAAAAAAGTAGGAAGAATCTTATTCTTTTAATAACAAGCCATGGTTAGTATAAGTTTTAAGCTCTTGTAGTTTAATAGTCAAAATGCCTCTTTATTGTATCACATGCATAAGAGGAGTTCTGAGTTCAAATCTCAGCAAGAGTTCTTATTTGCTGATTCATGGTTTGTAAAATTAAAATAGGGCTATGAATTTTTATGTCTATATTAAAGTTTTTGTTTTTATAAGTCATTGTTTTTATTTGACACTTATTAAAATCAAGGTTGTTTTAACTTGATTGGAACTCTGACAGTATGATTCTCAGTATAAAACTATTCTTATTCAATGAATTTTTCCGAGAATTTATCATAGTATAAATCGACTTGACGAGTAAAATATCACTTGCCACAATGTCCAAGCGTAAATATTGTTTGACAAATGGTAAAATGTACTAAATTTTCTGTGCGTTTTTTAATTTTGACATCTGCATGCTTACTCAACTGCCGGCATATAATATGATAATATCTGCTAATCATGAAATTCGCTCATATCTAACACCCGACCGCCGATCGGCAAACCTGTGAGGGAATACTAAAAGATCAAGGAGTACTATACGAATGCTAAATGCAAGATTTCAAAATGGCCCAAAACATTTCCCTTTTCAAATAAGACCAACCTTGTCTGTCGATTTTCGTGTTGACCGTGCATTTCATACTGTGCATGTTTTTCACGTATTTGCCGTTTCTGTTAAAATGAAATTTTTGTCTTGATATTCAGTCAATATTTCAAGTTTGAAATGAATATTTGTGATGGTTTTTGGGGAAATATAAAAAGGGAGAAATGCCTTTCAAGATCATCTTAATTCCTTTTGAAATGCATTTTACTTTTATATAGAATAAGTATTTTGTGTTTTAAGTGAATATGTTTGAATTTTTTAGCAGTAAGCCGTAACCAAAAGGTTAATCAAGGCGAACACATAATCGAAAAGTAACATAACCAAAAGATTAACCAACCTTTACATTAATGAAAAAAAAATCATTTCTCAGGAGTAAATAGTTAGCCATCATTTGGTCACGGAGGCCCCTCATACCTTTTGATATAAATGCAAATAGTGTGTAAACTAATAGCTGAAAGTAATGACATATGATATACAATCATATCAAACACATATCAGTTTCTGCCGCCTAATTCCCTTAAGTATGCAAGTCATAAGTGATTGCATTTGGAAACCCGTTGAACATTTCAAAACAAGGCAATGTCAAAACCCAAGTTAACCATTTTTTATGTTCCCGCGAGGGGTTTGACATTATTGGAAGATAGATAACAACCGCATGTACATTAATTATTAGAGCAATCAGCTCCTACCTAACGATACGCTACAAGTAAACATAAGATTTGAACTTTTATCATGTTGAAATTAACTGAACATTGTAGTCTATAAAATTTAAATGCATTGGCTGCGGTTGTGTTAACAAACATATTAGCGAAACAAAGTAACCACAATTAAATGATATCATATTCGACATTCAAGTATAATCTTTCATAAGCATAAGCTTAATTGTTATGTCACTGGTTTACTGTATGAAAATTGTTTTGTCTTTGGGCCCCGGATCAGTGGGTTTGGGTGCTATATTTTCCTTGAATACATAAGTTGTTCAGATGTGTGTTGAGGAACATCAGTCATTGATAAAATAGGGGGAAAAAGAACCCCTAAAGAAAGTCCAAAACGGCAAAATTGAAAATGTTGCAGGTTCCGTTTGATAAAGCCCAAATTAACACTGTCCCGGTAATGGCCACGGTATCGCTACTGTGTCTTCAGCAGGTGAACCGAGGTGTTCCTTGGTGTTTTTCTGAGAAATCAAATTGCGTTTACACATCCCCGACAGAGCCCATGTGTATTCCCGGTTCAGAACCCGATATAGCACCGGATACATACGATAAGCGCCGATGCTAAATCAGTGTTTTCCCACTTGATTCCGGTGGAAACCCGACTAGACACGGTTTCATCACGGTCCATCCCGACCATCGCCGTTTTTGCCACGGTAATGCTATTGGTGATGCTGGCACTGTGCCTGTGACGCCCTGGTAATGCACCGATGCTTCCTGCTCAAGTTTATGAGAATAAAACTGACTGACCACGTTGACATCAGTCATTTGGTAAAAAGACAGCAGAGATGCCATCCGAAAGAAAGGGGATGGAAGTTAGAAAAAACTGTGTCTACAACACCTTCAGAGGTTGAGGTACCTGAAGCTGAAAATGCACAAACTGAAGATTTTTTCCTTCTCTCATTTAACAAATTGTCTATGCTCGTGTTCCTTCTCTAAAGTAAATGATCCAAAGTAGCACTTCAAGTTTATATATTCCTGTTCTTTAAATTACCTGTATCGGCATGAGGTCGTTACACCACCGTCTATCATCGTTGTATATCCGTACTTGTCTGCAATATCCGGGACATTACCGGCTCCAACCGGAGCGTTGTTGCCAGTTACCTGAATGTACCCTGGCTCTACCGTAGCTCTGCCTGTTTTACCGTGGCAATATCGTGTCATCACCGGGACTTTGCCGTTTGGACATTGACTGACACGCATCCCGGTTTACTACGATTTGTCACGGTAAGGATGCAATATAGATAATATAGAAGACAACCGTGGTGATCTCTCAGTTTGTTCCGGTTTACCATGGTTTGTCCCTTTACTTCACGGAATTTCAACAACCCAACGCCGGTTTACCACGGTTGATCATGGACACCAAACCGGGACTGTGTAAATGGGGCTTAAACCGCCCTAGTATGTCTGTATTACTATTACTACTAGCAAGAAAAAAGGTCTTCAAATCAATGAAATTACTTAAACCGAATTCTGATCGCGACAATATCATAATACTTTTAAGATGTTGTCAATCAGGGTTATAAATGAAAAAGGGAGACAAAGGAAAAATACTTATCTATTGAGACTTGAATTTCAATTGTATCTTTCTAGAATACGCTTTCTAGCGTCAATATTACATTATATAGCAGCTCAAATCCTCGATATTTAGGTTCATAAAAGAAAACAATTAAAACAAAGATACTTTTTTGTTAAATGGCAATTACAGTAAAAATAACTATGAGAGCGTTTTGGTGCGACATTTAGCGGTAAGTGCGACATTTAGCGGCGTTGCGACATATAACGGCGCCACAGACGTTCACATTTTTTTCGATTTAAAATATAACAATGACAAAGTCTTGGTTACTTTCTCAACGTTTATTGTTAACATGTTTTTAATATATTTGCGTTACATTGTATTAAAAACAAGTAATATAATAGTGAATTGATAACAAGGATTCTCTTTTTCAAAATAGAATTAAAAATGTCAATAGCTATTTTCTTTTATTGAAAGTTACATTGTGACAACGAAAAATTAGAATTTAAATATTTAGAAGGAAATAACTGTTAACAACATGACTATTTTATTTTATTTAAACTTGTATAATTGTACTTTTTATGTCTGACATCGGCTCAAAGTGGATTAATTATCTTAACAAAACCAGTGAAACCGCTGTAGAGCACCCTCTGTTAAACAACTACCTCTTTACAACAACAATATAATTTCTTCCCAAAGTAAAGATTACCACGCCATTTTACCTCTGTAGAGCAACTACTCTAAGCAGAAACCAATCTATTTGTCTCACAAAGGGTGTGGCTCTGCAGAAGTCATACTGTATCATAACTAATAATCGGTGTACTAGCTGGTTAGATGTCTGCCTCTCAACCCAGAGGCCATGGGTTCGAACCCTACACGGGTCACGGCCATGTTTCTTCATATGACACCAGTACTGGTTGGTACCAGGAAGCGGACTCGAAAGTGATTAATATAAGTTGCAAGAACTTGTTTCGCAATTGAGCTTAAATAAATATGTTTAAACCAACTAATAATCAATTTGAATAGATTCAGACATCATAAGGAATAACAAAAATCAGTATTATGTTTGTGCTGCCATTTACAATCTATGAACTCAGGATTACTTTTAATTTCATCCTAGAATTCAACAACAAGAGACAAAAATACATTTAAAATGTTTTACTTTGTTTCCTAAATTGGTTAATGTTAACCAGTAAAAAGTTGCCCATACTGCACTTCAGTGTTGTTATCTTTTCTGTGCCTTCGGAATCATTGATGCCAGCACTTTTAAGTGTTGAGAATTGAGTACCGCTCAAGCCGGTGCTAGGGGGCGTGAGGGATGTTGCACTTATTCATTATCCATCATGTACAGACTCAATCAAACCGAGTCTGCAATTTTCATGTAATTTTGTTGAGATTAATGTTTCCGAGGGATCACTTTCCAGATTTTTTCTCTCGATGAAATTGACCAATTTGGCGTAACACGCATTATTAAGAATTATTTATAAAGGGAAAATAAAGTGAACTTCCGAGCATTTATTTGAGGCGTTTTGAAACATTGTATGTGTTTCAAATACAACAGTATGTATTGTAATATAATTTGATAACATACATTAATAGGAAAAAATTAAAGATTCAAGCCGGACCTATACAAACATTGACCAACATAATGTTTATATAATATATATTGTACATTTACTATCAACTATATACAAAATAATGCACACTGTATTTAAGGGGCTTGTTCATTTGATAAAAAATATGTCCTTCGTTCCTAGAAAAAGTTTATTTTTTCTGCTTCAAATATATTTTAGTTCGAATGTTGAAGTTTTAAATTATTTTAACAGGTAGCATTGATTGTTATGCTACCTTTATTTGTTTTGAGATACTGCAATAAAAGACAAAAACATAATGAAATCAGACGACAATTACAATGTTAATTTATCATATCCCAAAACTTTTGAGACTTTATTATCTTAAAAAATACATTCAGTTTTAAAAAACATCTTTTGGTGGTGATTTTATTCGATTAAATACTGAAATTTTACCTTTTTTTGTTCGAACTTGTTATTGAAAACAAAATATATAATTATCAATCAAGCAACCCCCTTTTTAAATATGTACATTCCGGACACGAGGTACGTCGTTGAATCAGCAGAAAATATTCAAACATTTACAACACATAAACTAACACAGTTCATTGATACAACACATAAACAAATGTCATTTAACAACGCAAAAATATAAAAAAAATGTATTATCCATATCATGAGGATCTATATCTTTATATTTATTCTAATAACATGTGAAATTAGCAGATTTAAATAGTTCATGAATTTTAAAGTACTGCAGACTATCTTTCGAAACGTATGAACTCCTTTTATCTTGTGGCGCATTCACTTAAAACAGCATACTTCCAGAATCATGCTAATTTTAGTGAGCATTTTTAAAATGTATTAAATAGTAAAATATTGTCAAGTGAACAAAGAAATAATTTTTACATTGCCAACGGCTATTGAAATCTATGGAAATTGCCGAAACTGGTCAGAATATGCAAAAATAGCACTTACTGCGTTAGTAACGCGGCAAAAATATTAAGATAGATACTGCAAAACAGTCATTCATTGCATAGAACATGTTTTTTTCCTTAAAATTGTAAATATTTTGACTTTTCTTAAGATCTAGGTACATTTTTCTCAAGATTGATTTTCTTGAAATATTTCGGCTCATCTGGAGGCATGCAGCTTAAAATTGTGAAGTTTCCCGTGCTACCGTTTTTTAGATTTTTCTAATAGGTCATATGTTGCTTTAAAGTAATTTTTTAACATTAAACGTGGCAACAATAGGTTTTCATTCTATCAAGTCAGAAAATAATATCTAGAGCTTTTCATAGCACGATGCCATTTTCAAACCAGACCCCGCCCCCATCTGTTACATTCTCATTTAGAAGAAACGTGAAAATATTTGCATAAATTATGTCTAGCGTGTATTTTACAAACTGAAATATGATAAATTTCTTCAAACTAGCTCATGTTAAGTTTAATTGTGTGATAATATGTCATTCTGTATTTACGGTTTGGCTGGGTCAGAAGTTCAATCCACATTCACAAGAAATTCTAGAAGTATCTTTCCCATGTTTTATATACTAGATTTATAGTTAACTTATGAGCATTCAATGTACATGTTTGTATGTACATGATATATCATAGTATGCTCAATGCATGCATAGAGCACAATGTGACGTACAAATCTAAGTCCTTGCATAAAAATTAACATTGCGTATAATAAGTTGGCAATCCTTTTTACACTCAGTATATTCTTCCTTTTTATCTTGTCACATTTTTTCTGATACCAAAATCTGAACATTTTTACAGTTCCCATTATCGCAATATGTATAGTTAAAAAGTATCAGTTAATGTTTGATACAAAATGTACATGAAAAGTACGCTGATATATACACAAACAGTATGTATGTATGTACATGAACAATGTTTACACACTCCCTCGTTGATGCGTTCTCTGTCTGGGAACCCAGACGACATTTTACTGTACATCGTTGACGGAAGTTCAAAGTAGTTTAGAAATATAATATCCTCTGTTACACTGATTTGTTACTGACCACGAGAATATACTGTGCTCCTCTCTCCTCCTAGCGATTATCTCCCCTGTACCATAAATTACAGACGCAGTTTTCACTTACATGTGTGCTTTTCTATCATTGTTTCACAAGTTTTACATTGAACGTGACAACACCATATGAATTTACAGTGACAACGTGACACATATGTGACCACTTGTGTATTATACCCACGTCCACAGCACAACAAATCGCAACTGTCACTCCCTGTTGAAGTTTTGTTACATAAACGCCCCGTTGTGCCCAATATACCCTTTTTCACATTTGGGCGACAATAATTTGGTGATTTATGAACATAGATTAAGTCATCAGATTTGATTGGTTGTCGGCGTTTTGTCTTCCCTTTACGCCGTGGTCGACGCTTTGACCGACGAGCTATTGGAACAGACCTTTCGTATTTGAGTTTTAAAGAGTCCCCTATTTCACGAAATGACGGAAGGCTTCGCCAGCATGTCTTTACTGCGCATGATCCGGAAACTCCATGGCAGCGACATTTCAGAGACATTGCATTCTCTGCGATCTGAAATATAAAAAGTATAAATATATATGTGTTTCAATTATTCAATTAATAATACAACTTAAACAACATGTATTTAGAATGTTAAAGGGCCATACACTTAAGTTTGTGACGAAAGCTAGAGTTTCAATTTTTCCTTGCAAATTGTATATTATTTGAATTAAAAAAATACGGAAAGGAATATTTTAATCTGGCACTTATTTTAGAGTAGCATATTAATTTGCAACTTCATTCATAAATAACGGCGGAATGATTTCATCTAAAGCACGCGACACATTCACAAAAGGCGATTGAATAATTTCATTTAAAGCACGCTACTCGTTTAATACAAGACGATGCACGATGTCATTTTCCAGCATCAGTTCAAATGTTAGATAAACTCAGTCTCATATACAAGATAATACCAGAACAAGACATTATCTGTCAAAACACTCATAAATTCCTACTTCTTTTAAATAGAGCAATGATGTTGATACAAATGCGGCGTTTATGTATTTTCATTGTTTTAGTTCTAGTATTAAAGCTATTTCCTTAACAATTTCAATGGACGATCTTTTAGTTGATTTAACATCTCTTTTTCTTCAATTTTATTTTAAGATTGGGGTTTCATATGGTTATACAGAGAAACGGTAAAAGTGAACGTTTTATGATCAGACATCATAGACAGAAGGCAGAGACATTTGTTTGTCAGGTTGCTCAAGCATATAAAGCAAGAATTATTATGACCAAGTATTAGAAAATTAGAAATATCCCGTCCCGTCATTTTATTCCATATTTTACGGGACCTTTGGAATTTTCAATCAAGATTTTGGCTGTATTTTATGTTATATTTCTTTTCATTCTGTTCATTTTATGACTATCCGAGCTAATGCGGCGTTATTTTTCTGTCAAAATCGAGACCCATATATCATAACGCATTATTTCTAACCAAATTGCGGTCGGTTTTATTCCTTCATGTCTTATTTAATATGAAAATTACATTTTCGCGCACCATAAACCATGTTTTCCTATTGATTATTACTTTGTGAATATGGGAAATTATTGGTTATAGTAATTTATTTCATTCATATTTATATTAGATTTCGCCGCTTGATGCCCTTTTTGCCATATTGATACAAATATGCAGTAGATACTGGACTGATATTAAAGAAATTAATTTCATTGCCTCGAGGCTTACAAAACGTCCTTTATAGTATGGATATTCATTGTTTTCATTTTTGGCAAAAATGTTCTATAATCTTTATATATTTTTGTATCTAAACATGCCTTCGAAGAAACGGAATTGTTTAATTTACCTAACAAATATATTTTAATATTTTTGCACATGCTGCTCTACGTGTGTGCTTTAATTTTATGCATGTTCAACGAAAAATTTTAAAAATAAGTTTTTCTTTCCTTCTATGGTCATCTTATCCTGTTGAATGTATGAAATGGATTTGCCTAGCTTTGGACATTTCATTTAATGTTTAACTGATCTACCCACTGTTGGCCTGTAATGTCTGTCTGGTCCGATTGCACGGGTACTTGTACACCTACATAATCTTAGCTGGTGATTATTGGAAGTTAAAAACCCAAACAACTTCGACAGTCAGCAGATCAGTATTAGAACTGATCTTTTGAAATGAAGAATAGTCTTGGTCAGACTGGACTTTTAGCTTGGTAAGGTTCAACTGAAGTTCTAAATACATTTTGTTTGTAATTAAATGGGTTATTCAAGACAATGCACTTTGTTTTTGTATGATTCCTGTTCAATTTTGCCCGTGTTTGCACATTGTTTTTAAATAATAATAATAATAATAATAATAATAATAATAATAATAATAATAATAATGACAATAATAATAATAATAATAATAATAATAATAATTATAATGTTTTGAAAAGGAGACACTTATACATTCAAGTATGTTGGTATTGGATATTTCAGTTTTGCAGGGACGTCGTTATTCTATGCTGACCCACATCCCATGCCATTTCAGCCCTGTGATATGTGGGTCAGTAATGCAAAAAAAAGTTACAGACGAAAGGAAAAAAAGGATAAAGGCATTTTCTTCAATATTTAATAAGGTATAAACCATATACATGAAGAAGTATATTAAGATAATTATATAAACGTATGCATAGACAGATCATATTGAACACAGTTGAAGTAAAATGGTATTTATAATTATATATGATATCTGATTCATATTGAGGATTATAAATTCGTGGGCACGCTCCTTTGTGAAGACCTGTAACAGGCTTTTAAATAATAAGATGTTACTTTTTCACTTTTGTTGGTTACATTGTTGATTTAAAATAATAAAGAGTTATTTCAATGTTTTAATATGACTTTACTCATATGTAATTTTCTAAACTCTTCCCGTATACATTTGTCAAAATCATTTCCTTGTTGAAACACAGTTGCCACTGTTTACGCAAAAAAAAAACCTGATTAGTTTAGGTAATGATATGTATATCTATTTTGATACATCTGTTTCATCATTATCTATTGTCAAGTTTTTGTTTTCTTCTTCCTGCGTGGTGTGATGTCCTTGCGGCTTAGTACTCGTTACCGCCTTTTCAGGCATACTTTCTAATTCCAACTCCCCATCGTAATTTGGTTGACACCTAAAGAAGCGCTTGTTTATTCCTAACATGAGGTAAGAAGGAACAGGGGTCTTTCGTTCTAATTTGGTGAGTTTACTTATCAGCAATCCTACTGTCAAAGAAACGATTGTCACCATCAGGGAAATGTACAAATAAGATATAGAGTAAAGATGGTCTATTCCTTGGACTGTTCCGGTTTCCTTCGTAGCTGTAATTTTTTCGGTTGTCATCATATAAGTGATATTGGATGGCGTTGTTGAATAATTGAAGAAATTCATATTTGCATCAGTTTCGTTGTAACATTTATCCGTAGGGCCAAGTGGCAACCAAGGGGTCCTTTTGCGGCCTGGAGAAAAATTGTATCCTAGTGAAAGCCACAAAGCGAATGCTATGCCAACAGACATACTAGCTAATATTCCTCGTATTGTTGTAAACTTGATGAAAATGGACATGATAAAAAGTGCTGTAACCGGACCATCTATTGCTCCAAGAATGCTACTGGATATCTGAGTCATTGGGCCTTTGACGTTACTTATAATTAGTCCAACACCAATACATACAAAGCCGCATAGTAAGACCATTAACTTAGAAGCTTTAGTCAAATTAAGTTCTGAAATAGTTTTCCATTTCTGGCGAATTACATCCTCAGCAACAATTGCCGAAACACTGCTTAGAAGAGATGAAATTGTACTTAGTGATGCACTGCATAGCGCAGCAAGAAATAACCCAGTTATCCCAGGAATGGTTTCAAACATATCCATCACGACAAAAGAGATGATCTGATTTGGATTCGATATTTGCCCAGAGGCGAGGGGGTCACAACCTTTTTGCACATAGTATGCATACGCTACAAGCCCTTCAAACATGACCAATAATTGAAGTATAACAAAACCCGGGATAGATATTGCTGCAACCTTTCTAGCTTCATTCATAGACTTTGTTGAATTCAGACGCTGTATAACTGGTTGTCTACACGAATAGCCTATACTTCTAAAAAAAGAGCCAACAACTAACGTCCAGAATGTATGCCTTGTAAATGGATTCGGGTCAAAGTCAATCATCTTCATTCGACCGCTGGGTTTATTTAAGTCAATTACATTTTGGACACCGCCTACGCACATTGTTCCGTATATCAGTACGGCAAAAATCACTCCAATCATTATAATTCCCTGTACAACGTCCGTAACAATAACGGCCTTTATCCCACCAAGAGATGTATAAATCACCGCAATGCCCGACATGGCGACGATGAAAATCCAAACTGATACTCCAGTTACAGATTGAAGGGCAATTGCAGCGCCAAAGAGTACGATTCCCGAGTAAAGAGTCATAAAAATGGCACCAAGTACCATCGCAATTTGGCGTATCAGCAATGAGTCGTGACGCATTTGTAAATATTCGTAAACACTTGTTACTTGGAGAGGATAAAACAAAGGTATGCTGATCCAGAACATAGCAGAAAATCCAAGCGCCATTCCAATGTTAACAAGCCAGAAAATAAATCCATGGACGTACACTTCCGCCGGAAATCCGAGAAAGAAAATCGACGATTCAAATGTAACAAGCATCGACATTGCAACCGGAAATGCTTTGAGCTTCCCACCGCCTCTGTGGAAATGATATGAAGACTTATGTTTTCGTTCTCTATATGCATAGATCATCCCAGCTGCTAACGAAGCAAAAATTCCAAGGGAAAATGTAACATAGTCAGCAGACTGCAGACCCTTTTCTAACGCCATAGCTGTGTTAATATGACGCAATGCAGCCGTATTGCTCTTATATATATATACACCCAACGAATTGAAATTATTACAGACGTGACTAGAAATGAAGCCTCATTGATTATTTAAAAAACCTCGTACTAACTTACGAACTTATGTCTTTCGAATGACCAAAATGTGCTCAACGAACTAACAATTCAAATGCACGAGTGCTAAGTAAGTGTTCAGCTGTACACACTATATGCTTGCATAAAACATCATGCACATAAAAGCATTCTAAACTAGTTTTCTTCATTTTTGATTTATGTAAGTTATCTCGGTTTTAGCTTGTTTAAAATAAATAGGAGAGGAGAGGGAAGAAAAGACAGAGAGGGAAGGAAATCCCAGAGATGGAACCGCATGCCGGCAGATTTATGGTATTTTATTTTCAATTTTAATACACTTTTCTACTATTTTTCGTGCAAATTTAAACGTAAGATATGCGTGGTTAGTTAGAAACAGAAGATATGCTTGAACTTGTAAACTTGCGGAATTATACCAAGTTGATATTTGGAATGGATATGCTTCTAGTTATTATTTCTTATTATTTAATATGTTTGATTTACTTGGGTTCAAATAGGATTTGAGTCACCCAGTACGGGAGTTATATTTAATTCATTGTTAATCAAGAGGTGATTCATGAGGTAACTTTAT